GGTAACGATTTTCGCTGAATTTCAAGGCACATTTCAGCATATTTTAATGCTTGAACATAATTACCTTGATTATAATAAGCACAAGAAATATTGTTATAAGTTCTTGCCAACTCAGAATGATTTGATGGAAGTGAAATTAATTGAATTTTTCTAGCCATTTCGTAATATTTTAATGCACTAGCATAATCATTTAGATTTCTATAAACTTCTCCAATGCTACTATATGTTGTTGCAAAATAATGATGATTTGGTGGAAGTGATTTTAACAAAATTTGAAGACAAAGTTCGTAATATTTCAATGCATGAGCATAATCACCTGCATCATTATAAACTGTTGCAATATTATTATAGGATGCTGCTAGTAATGGATGATTGGATGGAAGTGATTTTAAGTTAATCTCCAATGATTTTTCGTTATATTTCAATGCATTAGTATTATCACCTAGTTTATTATAAACTATACTAATGTTGTTGTATGTTTTAGCCAGCTCTGTGTAATTTGTTGAGAATGAACTTAATTCATAAATATTGAGTGCCTTTTTGTAATAATTCAATGCCTGAACATAATCACTTTTATTACAATAAACTAATCCAATGTTAGTGTAGGATACTGCTAAAGATGGATGATTGGATGGAAATAAATTCAGTTGAATTTGAAGTGCTTTATCATAATATATTAGTGCAGCATCAAAATCTCCTTGGTTATCATAGACTTGTCCAAGATCCATATAGACTTGTATCATAGATGAAACATTTTCCTGTTCAGTATCGTCTATAAACATTAGAGAATATTGCTTTGCTTTATCATATTCACCCATTGCTAGCATTATGGTTCCTAATGTATGCAAGTTACTTGGTTTATCAAAATGAAGATCATTTTCCATATGTTCTTTCAATACATTTAATTCTTCATCTTCTTCTCCATTTAGAATTAATTTAACATTCCAAATGTTAGTTGAATCTGATTTTTGAATAGATTGAATTCGAAACACAGTTGCCATTGAAAATAATACTTCTTCTTCATCTTGAAAATAACTAAAGTTTTTAATGTTACAAAATGGTCTTTTACATTTAGTTGTTTCAATATTTATTTCAAAAAGCACTGGTTGAATATTGTTTTCTTGAAGTACATATATTTCAGCAATTTGTTTATTTATACTTGCAGATAAAAAATTATTTACCGATAAAAATCCTCCAATATTTTTTTGTAATTTTTCAAATTCTTCATTAGGTATACCTTGTCCCCGATAAACTTGAATTATTTTTGTTTCTGATTTATCTGTTGAATATAATTGTTTAAGTTGATTATAAAGATCGGTAATGAAAAATCCTAGTTTATACAAAATATCAATATCATATGTTCTTAATGCTTTATTCAACATTCTATATAAAAACGAATCTCTTGTATACCATTTTATTGCTTCATTTGAATCATAAGTTTTTTCAAATTCATCAATTTTTATTAGTTCAGTATTATTATTTTTATATTGTAACCGTAATTCATCAATCAACTGTTTTTTGGTTATGGATTTATGTTTTATTTCAAGTAAAGTATCAATAAGTAATTGAAAATACATAAATGATGCTTCTTGTTGATTTGTTCGATCATTTGCATTTGATGACAAGACACTAATTGGGATCAAATTATTAGCCCATTGCAAAACATCTTTATTTAGTGAATCACAAATTAAATTCATTTCTGAAAAAACACCATGTATTTTGTTATATGTTCTTGTCCATTTAACATTTTTATTCTTGTTTGAACAATAGACGTAAATTGATTCAACTTGATTGAAATCGTGAATAATAGGAACAATTATTTCACCTAATAAATCGGATACAATAAAATAAATTCTTTCTGTTTCAATTGATGTTAAATAATCAACACATTCATCACTATCACTAAATGTTGTTAAATAATTTATTGTTTGACGTAATTGTGTTTTTATTTTAATATTATCATTTATCGAATTAATAGTAGAATCAAGCCAAATAATAGCGTTCTCTTCAAAATTTCGTTGGTTACTTGGATTTGCTGTTTGATTGTTAAAAAGTAAATTTTCATGATTCGTGATTATTGATGATTTAGCACTTGCTTTTGAACTATTGTTGCCCATAATTAACACATATCGTCTTGTTCTAGAAAGTTCATCCTAAAATAATAATAAAATTACTCAAAATAGGATAAAATACTATAGAGTTGTAGAGAGGACAAGAAGAACAGAAAGAATAGGAACTCATATTTCGATTTGTGTAAGCGATAAAACCCTTAACTGTAGACTGCGCGTGGGTGTGTGGGTATGGGTGTAGGATATGGGATGCGGATGTGGATGTAGGTGTGGCATTGGTGTGAATAAAGAGAAGACAATACCCGCACTCACTCACCCGCACCCACACCCATATCCACCCACCTACCCGCACTGACATCCGCA